AAACTAACTGTGGGTTTCAGTTTTTCTTAAGGAAAACAAGTAAAAGCATTGATAGACAAACAAAGATTAAAATGGATTATTTAAATCAAAGTTCCTTATCAGTCCTGTAATTCATTCTGCTCAAGACATAAACTGCTGCCTCTTGCAACAATTTCAATACACAGAACTCAGCAAAGCTGCAGCGAGCCAAATGAATTCAGGTGAGATAAGAGTTCATGTGGGTGCTCCCATTTAGAAACAGGATGTCTTTTAATTCTTGTACTCTAATATATACAACCTAAATACTCTTTTTTTTTTCTTTTCTCCCAATAGTGACATCCACAGGATTTCTTTTCACTTCTCCCATTTGCACCACTCTTAGTTATTCAGTTTCCTCTTCCCCTTACACTTGAAACGTTTCCCTCTCAGAACCTGACTTAGGGCAATGTAATAAATTAGCAATAAACGTTCAGTTAAAGCAGAGGACTTCAGGGAGAGCCCTTTCTGAAGCACAAACAAGGTCTTCCACAAGCACCCATGAACCTTCACAGTACATATTAATAACAAAAAAGTCGCTTCAAAACAAAGTAGGAAACGATCAAATTATATAAAAAGTTCATAACATACTTAGAAACAGACCAGCACTGATACAAACGTGTATTAAGTACAAAGATTGTGTTCCTCAACACTTCACATTTTCATTTATATAACATGTTGAAGATATCAGATTGAAATACAGCAAAAACCTACCTTGAAGATGGCAACACGCTCGTAGGCTTGAAGTTTGCCATAAACGGATTAGTCGAATCATAATCAAAACTCTCCTGAGGAGCTTCCCCAAACGCACCCGGTGATTTCAAGTCAGTAGAACTCTCTGATCCCCCATTGCTAAGTTTATCTGACCTCTTGCTATCTTTTTTTCCAGTCACTCTTTCAAAAAGACTAACTTTCTCTTTTTTCTCTTTTTTAATTTCTTTTCTGATCTCGACAGGTTTGGAAAACAGACTTATGTTTTGATCCCACGTTGCTGGGCTTTCTTCAAATGGATTCTTCTGTCTTGGCAGTGTAGCAAATTTTTGGGGTAACGAAGCACTCACATTAAATGGGTCATTTTGTGCTTCAAGTGCAGTTTCATCAACTGTGCTGTCAAGTTGGCTCATTTTAGAAGTATCAACACTTAATGTCCTTCTGTGTGGAGATTTTAGACTCCCTGCAAATAATCTGTCATTAGTATATTATCAATGAGACACTATATCACAGCTTATGACATGCAGAAAACCCATTTTAACTTAGATCTACAAGCTTTGCAATTGAGCCTCAGTTCAGAACAGTGTTGAGCAACGAAGCTATTAAAAAAAAAAACCTAACAGCTGTGGCCTCGATTTCATGTTTCAGAAATGTTCATGGATAGGCACCACAGGAAATTTTTGTTTCCTGCATGAAAACAAAGTTCTACAGAGAAGACAGCTATGACTGGTGTGCCATTACAGAAGGAGACAATAGCATGTGGCTGCATAATAACTTTGAGCAATGCAAAGTATTTTCAGTTCTTTGTATAAATCACATTTAAAATTTGCTGATAGTTTTTGACTTTTTAATTGGACTTATTTCACACAAGATGCTATTTTGCCTATTCCCCTTTGGAATGCAATATACTCCCAGATGAGGACATAATAAGAGAAAATGCTAAATTATCATACATCATGAGCATTGCAAGTTATTTCTCATGCTCAGAAACAGCAGTTATGAGTTACCAACAATTAAAGAAAGCATTAAAAATAGGCCAGCAATATCTCTTAACATTTTGGCCTTGTAAGTGCTTCATAGACTAAAGTAACAGATTCTGAATGCTCTAAGAGCAGTGAGCTATTAGAGTCATGAGTTTTACTCACCCCCTTCATCCACTGAACCAAAGGACTCCAGCTGACGCCTGAAGAGATGGGTGTAGCCAACAGTGCTGGATTTCATTTTCTCTGAGGAGACGTGTGGTCCTGTTAGATCTGACATGGAGTGAGCTGAGGACAGACGCTGAGGTCCCAAGAGGAAAGGTTTTTTTGGTTTTGATTTCATTTGCACTTCACCACTAGACAGCTCTAGATTTGCATCAGGTATGTGAGTGCTTGGGATGATTGCAGAGGATGTGTCTGAAAACGTCCCATCGTTTTTCCGACCCTTCATTTTGTCTTTTAGTTTAGCAAATGGGGATTTGGTTTTGTCCTTCATTGACAAATCAAACATACTTGCTGTCATGTTATTCCTCATAAACTGAATATTGACGTTTATTTCTCCTCTGTCTTTAGTTCTCTTCCCTTGTCTGGATTCTAAGGGAAACCACCTTAAAGGAGAAAGAGCAAATTAAGTTGTGTTTTCTGAAGGCTATCATTACACTCTGGTTAGTTGCTCAACGCATCTGGTTAGAACAATTTAAAGTGCAAAAACCCAAATCCTATATCAAAGATTCAACCACTCCTGTAATGAAAAACTTCTTCATTTATATTTGTTTTCAAAGAGAAAACAACTAAGGAAGAAGAAGCTCTTTACAGTGTTCACCTTTTCAAAATCAAAACCAACTCTGGAAGCTGACCAAACATCATCAAAATTTAGGGCTTCCATCTGTTTATGAAGGAGATTTTGTACTTAATTATAAATACAGATACATTTTCTTTTCTTTTTTTAAAAAAAAAATTCAAGTGTCCTTTATTCAATAGACATTATATGAATGTATTCTATATGGCAACTACTTGACCTAGTAACGTTTTCGCCTTAGATTTTGCTCAGGTTTACACACTAGCAAACATTTTCCCCTCTTTCCTTCCTTCTAAGCACTGGTTAAGATTTACGACAACTGCAGAAATGCTGGCTAAGAAGTATCTGAGAGCCCTGAACAGTCAGCTACCATTTCAATTCTGCAACTGCCTCCCCTCTGGATGCTGACAGTAACTCCACAAGCACAACTGTGAGCACGTAGGTGCATCCAACAGCATCCTCTCTTTTGCAGGTCACCAGCAGGATTAACTTCAGAAATATTTCCTTTGGAACCATGACATAAATCCCCACTCCCTGAAAAGAGATCAAAGGTGTGATCATCTGTTTCAAAAAGCCAAGTGTGCTTCTTTGCCAGGTCCAGCAAAAGCTTTATCATTATCCAAGTGTCTTATTCATTCCCTATTGTGCTCCATTGTCCCATGGAAGCATCTGCAGAATTATGGCTCAAGCTTCCCTCCACAGCTTCAGCTACATGAATGACCAACACACAATCCTTTCTCCACAACCATCACCAAGAGCCCTTCCCTATTTCAGAAGGTCACAAGGGCATATTTCAGATCCACCAGCTCCAAAGAAGTGCTCTAAACCCATTGTCAGGAGAAATCCATGCACACAGACTCAAACAACAGTGCCTTACCACCAGTAACTTTTGAATTGGAGAGACGAAGAAATTAAATTGCCTATTAACACAGATACAAAATACTGTACAGTTATACATACATTATTCAATCCTGCCACATATAGAAAAAAAGGTCAGGAAAGGAGAACAGTAGCCCTCAATTTATTTTCAGATTTCAGAAATATATTTTAAATGTGACAGCTGTAATAAAATGTTTAGGCAGAGATTACATGTATTGAGTTGAGAAAATACTTCCAAAAGTAACACACCAAAGACATGACAAAAAGATAAAGAATATTAGGCCTTTTGTTGTTGTTGTTGCTTTGTGATGTTCACAAGATTTTATATTACATACTAAAGCAAAATAATTAAAAAATATCAGATCTCCTCTCATGTTGTCATCATGAACAACATGAATCCAGACCAGTAGACTCAGAAGCTCAAACCAGTAGAAGGATAATTAAATCTTTAGGAAAAAAGCTTTTCTTCTGTTATGAGGTAACTTCATTTATATACTTTAAATGAAATACAAAACCTGGAATATGTGTCTGAAGAAGATGGATCGTTTTTCCTTTTAGTTAATAATGCTTCACTTCTTTGGTAACTGATTCCAGAAACAGTTTAAGTCATCTATAGAGTTGTTACAGAAAACAAAAACAGAACCAAAAGTCAATTGCCTTTGTGCTACATAATACGGCAAAAACTGGAAGACAAGATAGCCTACTTTCATTAAAACTATTCTTTAAAAGAAAATATATACATATATTCTCTTTAAAAAATATAAACAGCCATAATGAGCAAGCCTTGCTCAGACAGCTCCTTTGCAGATAAAAACCCCCGAACAAAAACCATACTGGACCTGAGAAAGTCCTCCCATGGCTCCTCAGCCACACTAAACAAACACACCAGCACAAATAAGGCTTATGAGTATTTTGAGATATATAGGAGGCAGAAAGGACTTCACTTTCTGGCACTCAAATTTAATGGCTCAGCCTACATTGTAATACTTTTTCCCCTCTCCTCACACGGTTCAAACATTAATACTCTATCTCTGATAAAATTGATGATTTTTTCTGTTTCTGCTTCTGAATGATTGAAACCTTACAGTGATCCGTGACACTCATTTTAGAACAAGAAGACATAAATTCTTAAGCTTTTGCTATGGGGAAGAACGTCTTTTATTTTAAAAAATCATTTAACTCAATTATTGGCATTCTTATCACTCAATCAACAACACTGTGTCATTGCATTTGCTAAGGGCAAATGCCATGTATTATTTTGACATTTATCTCCTCTTAAAGAGAAGCCCACAAGTAATACCTTGCCTTCATAGCTTCTACATTTGTTTTCAAAGTGTATCTTGAAGAACTTTACATTAAAAATAAATTCAGCTGGGAAAACAAACTCTCCTTTTTCTAGGAAGACAACAGAAGGTCCCACTGGAACCAGGTTCAAGACTGCTACTGATTCCAACAGAATTTAATCATAAACTCTTTTACTCCAGAAAAATTCCTCCAGTCTTCAGTGGAATTCCTATTTGAATAATGATTGCTGGATCAAATCTTTAATTTTCATAGGCATTTCAAGGAGGTTTCTTTGTTACCTTGGAGAGTTTATCTTGTTTTACTTATAATGAAGGTTCCATATGCTTCAGCTCATAACGAGACAATATGAGAAGCAGACTCAAATCATGATTTTCTTCAAAATTCAAAGGCAACTAATTACTTTTTTAAACAGATGAGAACAAATGCAGGCAATGCATTTATGTGGAGCTGCACGTGAACGAGCAACTAAGTCTGTAAATGTTTCTTATTAGAATCTGTTTCGACAACACATGGGCGTGAGCAGCAAATAGAAAAACCAGCACTATACAGGAGAGAAAAAAGAATTGGGAAATGAAGTCCGCTGTTTTCAGATAACAGCATTTGGGTCCTAAAACACCAAATTCCACTATACTACTGCCAATTTAAAGAATTGAAATGTATTATAAAAGCCAATAAAACTTGCTATTTTGGTTTTGTTTACAGTACTTTTAGCCACAATAAATGCTCCATTTGTCAGGCTGCCACGAGCTTATTCTATAGAAAGCCTGTACAAAGTAGGAAAATAGCCAATAACATACATGAACAAAACAGGGTGGCTTTTATGAGAGCAGATGCCCTTTTACTTAATAACCAAATATTACATCCAGTCTTGCAGACAGTCTTTATTTAAACAGACCTTGTACAAAGTCTGGCAAATTTTCCCAACTTCAAAGGAAGCCCTATTGCCTTTGGAATCACATTCATTCTTCTTGCTCTCACCTTCAAATGTTCTGTAGGGCAATGTCCTCCATACACCCTCTAATTCTGACTTTTTCCCTATGGCTTCCATCAGAACAACCCTCACTTCTTTCTCTCATCTGTTTTTCAGTGTGCTAATGGACTTTGCCTGTCTTGCACAAGTTTTTGTTAATTTCTGCTTTTAAGTATTCTATAAATTGCTGCTCTGCATGAATGTGCAAAGAGAAGCTCAGTGTGCAAGGCTAAATAAGAAAAATCCTGCTGACCAGGCAGCCCTGAAAAGCTAAATCCCCATGTGAAGCAGCATGGCTACTTCTACCCATGACAAAATTAGTTGATTTTGGCCACACCTACAATTAGGGTTGGAAAAAGCAAACTCTCCTAACTTGTGCAGTCTTACCAGTTGACCTTGGGGAAGACAGACAGAAAAGGTGAAAACTGAAATAAGCTACTATAAATGAGCAAGTTACAAAACTCCAGCCTGTCTATTTCATTTAAATAGCTAGTGGTCTACTGACTTTCAGATGTTTTTTTTCTCCCCTTTTCCGATTCTATTTGTCCTTCAAATCTGCCAAAGAATCTGACGCTTCCAAGTCTTATCTCTCTCTGTCCTCTGAAGTAGCATCACTCAGCCTGTTCTGCTCATCATGTAACAGTGAGCAGGATGGGCTGACAGCATGGGTAAGAAAAAGCACTAGCTAATTTCAATTACATTTTAATTATATGCTTTGACAGCCTCAAAACCACTGGGTAACTTATCTACCAATTTCAACAGGAATTAATTGTTCCAGCCAGCACATTCATCCTGTGCATGATAGATGATCTCCTGACTGTCTTCCGGACAGTGCCAAAGATGGAAAGTATTGAAGGAATTATCCCATTTTCTGCTTCTCAAATACACCACTTTGCCTTCACTCTACCAGTAATTATCTGTTGAGCTGATCTAGTTTTCCTTTGCTGAAAAGCCCAAAGAATTTTGCCAAACCTTTATTTCAATTCACAAATTACCGAAGAAGATTTGCAAAAAGCCACATAATCACCACAGCATCTGCCACGGCTTCTGACCTTGATTTTACATGCAAAAATCAGAATCATGATCTTCTACATATAAATGAGAATTTTCTATACAGGTAGATACTTCTAAACTTACCCCTATAAAAGACCATCAGAATCTCAATGACAGACCATGTCCATCAGCTGTCACAAAAACAAAGTTGATGACTACTGTCCAACTAGATATACTGAAGAAACTTTTTTCAGAAAAGCCCACTAACATAAATGTCCACAGCTAATTGATAAAAAAAAAAATCCAAAGCCCAGAACTATCTGACATTTTCATTTAGCAGCGTATGCACTTTGAAAAATGCAGAAGTATGTTTTGTGATAAATCATAATCCAGTACCATACTGAGAGGCTGCCCCAAAAGTCAGCAAGCAGGAAAATTCAGGCAAGGGGCTGAGCATAGACTACATCGTGTATGAAGCAAAATTAAGAAGAAAACAAATTATTTATTAAAATAAGTGATGACACTCACAAAGATGAATACTCTTACTTTCTGGAAGCCAACAAATGAGATATCCAAAGCAGTTTAAAATAAATACTACAGAGTGACATTGTAACACCACAAAACATATGGGAACTGACAGGTACCACAACACCCTCACTACG